CCGTTTTCTTTGCTGTGTACCTTTTGCACGTTCGGATCTTTTTTCTTATTTCTTTGTTTTTTTTTTCGTTCTTTTTTCCCGTCTTTTCCGTTGTTCACGTTCTGCACGTTCGGGGTGCCTGCGCCCGCTAGTCCGAACGTCGGCACGGATCGGCGTACCGGTCGGCCGAGGCTCGGACTCTATAGCTGGGCGAGGTACTGGTGGTTTAAATGTCCCTCAACTGACAGAGATGCAAAGGAACCTGAAGGCTCCATGAATTCAGACACCAAGAAAGTTTTTTTCCTTGTTTACCCTTCACTGAAAGCCAATCTGACAAGATGGCTAGTCTTATCTGTTCTTTAGCCATCCCAATCTGTTGGTGACAGGAGAGACTTTCTCCCCTAAAGGCCTGGTAGCTTCCCAGCGGGGACTGTAAAGATGCCCACCTCCGTCCAATGAGATGCCTCGAAAAACAAAGAAAAACAATTTGGAAATGATAGCTCGTGGCTTCGGGTGGGCGGGAAGTCTGGATTTTATGGATTTAAAAGGGTGGGGGTTGATTTCCAGACTTCGTTTTTTTTTTTTTTTTTTTTGGCTCTGAGAAATAGAACTTGAAATGCGAAATTCGAATATTGAGGTGGATCTGACAGGAACGCTTCCCCGTCTGTCCAATGGCCTGTTAGAGGCATCATGAGGCACATGGTGATGAATGTATCCCCCATACCCGTTACTTGTTCATCCTCATTGCTGTGTTCGTGGACACATTTTATTGCCACGGTACATCACTATGGAGACTTACGCGAAGGAGATCGTACCAACCCATGAATTCGGGTGCACAGCTGTTCTTCATAGTTTTATGTGCTATTTCTTTCTTTTTTTTTCTTTTTCTTTTTTCTTTTTTTCTTTTTAACAAAACACACACACACACCTGCAGTGCTAGTGGTGCTGACTGGGTCAGACACCACTAGCACCCGGGGGGAGGCTCCGTCTATTGGTGGGGAGCATCACCTGCTGGAAAACGGGTCCAGCGTCCCTTTACAGAATGTATTGCAGAATGGATATAGGTTGGATCAAGAGAAGTTAAGAGATCTTGAACCTGCCAGCATTGATTGCTCTGGTCACCAGAGGATTGACTGTGCAGGTTGTTAAGGAAGGGGAGGAAGCCTCTTCACCCTAGCGCCACGCGCCAGATATCTACTGCTGAAAAACTAGCCCCTCCCTCCTTTTGTTTTTTAAAGGTCTCCCTTTTCCTTTTGAGATCGTGGACTTCTGCCAGTATTGATTACCCTGAGATCTTCAGGGGATTGACTGCGCAGGAGTAAACAAAGGTTTTAAATCAGAAAACGATCCATTCATGCAAATAAAAAATCACTTTGTATTTTCCAAAAATACCATCAAATTTCGTCACACATCATAGAATACTTCGCTAGTGGGTCCAGGCCCCTGGAGCAGCTCAATCGGTACACCTAGGAACTGTTTAAAACAGACCTGAGTTCGAACTCCAGTTCCAGGGGGACACTAGCAACGCCGCTGCAACGGGATACGATAGAAACGAGTTTGTGGGGCAGTTGAGTGACCCACATCCTGCCGTGCAGTACTCCTGATCCCACGGTCAGTACTTTACACGTATAACCCGAAAAAGTAAGGAGAGCTTTGTTCCCCTCCTCCTCTCCTTAACACTGGGCATGCCCGTGCAAAGAAAGCTTCCCGCCAGAATCTTTTCAATCGGTTGGGGGTGTGGCCAACCCCAAACGAGGTTGGGGTCGGCCTTAGCCCACTGGATAGAAGATTTTCCAGCATTTTACTTGCTGTTGTGCAATTATCTCATTGGGTGGAGAGCCCTCCTTCAATCACGGAGCATATGCAGGGTGCCAGGATCACTGCTGATAAGTTTATTCCAGAAAATGTGGCGGTTACCTTGTTCACTGTTGTTGCAACCACCACCATCAGATCATTTGCGATCTGATGGCTAGGAAGCACTCTGCCGTGATTCCCGGTGGGAGGCCTCTGTTTCTTTTTTTTTTTTTTTGCCTTTCTCCTGTTTTCTCACCCCAGAAATTCATTTCGTAATGAACCTGTCAGGCCGCTGCCACTCAGTGTCACACTGGATCGGCCACACTCCTATCCGACTGCTAATGGGACCTCGCCCCTGCAAGGATAGCTACACTCTCAGAATCAAGGGGCACCTCATGTTATTCAAACGGCCTGAAGTGAATTATACAAACTCTCTAATTATTATTATTAAAAAAAAAAAAAAAAAAAAAACCTGAAATTGAAATACAAAAAAAAGTGCATCTATTCACTGACCAAATGACCAGCACCGGAAAAGGACAACACATTCACACCTGTCAGCTGTCAAACTGCCATACGTTCTGACACGTGTCCGTTCATGCAAACGCCCCGTCATTTTAGCTGTATATGGTGCAACTTTCAGTCCAGGTACGGCGATAATTACCGGGCGTTCTATTCGGATGAAGACGGGTGGCTCAGTTTAAACCACCCTGAATTGCTGAAATACAGACCTCAGGCTGTTGTGGGAGGCAGGGGAGGGGGGGAACTTTGTCAATCGGATCGGAAAAGGATAAACCCAGTAGCTCAAAAAAAAAAAAAAAAAAAGAAGTCTCCTCATCCTCCACTGACAAAATCACAGCCAACGCGTCACTTGATGCAAACACGCAACGATTAACAATAATCCACGGTCGTGGCCCTTTCTGGGCGTGGAGGGGGGGGGGAGAACAATCGGAAAAGAATAAACTCAGTCACCAAGGATCCTCATCCTCCACTGACAAAATCACAGCCAACGTGTCAGTTAATCCAAACACGCACGGACTTAAAAAATAAACAACAAAAGCAAAATTTATCCACTGCCAAAAGACCACTTAATACTCATTATTGTAGCCTGATAACGACATTAATCACCACTAAATCCAAATCATTGTCATAAAACTTGATAAAAAAGATTTAACTCCGAAGACCAAAAAAATATTAAAAAATTCGTCCTTGCTAAAACACCAGATGAACTGTCGAAATACAGACCCAAGTTCGAATCCAGCAATTTGACTTTAAAAAAAAAAAAAAAAAACATTTATCCACCAGTCTGCCAAAAGACCACTTAATAGTAAGTTAATACCCATTATTAGAGCCTGATAAAGACATTAATCAACACTAAATCCAAATCATTGTCGTAAAAATTGATAAAAAATATTTTTCTCCGAAGACCAAAAAAAAAAAAAAAAATGGTCCTAGCTACAACACCAGATGAACAC